ACTGCTTGTGAAGCACAAAGGAGCATAAGTGTGTATTCAGCAGCTTTAGCTGTATTTCGAAGCTCCTCTATCTGCATAATCAAAAAGGTAATCAAAAGGTAATTCCACCCTTGTCCACAAATAACTTTTCCAGATAATTTCCTCTTTGCTAATGTCACCAGCAGTCCCTCTTAAATATAGTAGCAAATGCAAATGGCTTAGTGAAGGCAGCTGAGGTGATCATGCTTCTAGTGGAAATGCCCTCTATACCTACTGACTAGGCTTCATAGTAGCAGGATACTCAAGTTTTGATCCACCTGGCATTTTTGATGATTGACCCTAATTGTCAAGGCAGGTGTGCTAGAAGAGAAAGGTTGCTTCACTGACATTAGTTTTTGGTCCTCTTAAGGTCAATTTTTATAGTTCTTCATACATCCAGCTTGTGCTACACATTTTAAAGAGGCTTTAATGTACATGACATCTGAAGCTAAGACTCTCTTGATAGGAAACTGGAGCTGGCTTAGCTTGTGGTTATTTGGTGATGCAAAGAGATCTCCTGAGGGTTGATGAATCGTACACTGGTCTTGTAGAACACCTGTGAATATAGACTCCGTCCCAGATCCAAGTGAATGAATGGATTCATGTGAATCCATGTGAATGTGATACCAGTGAAGTTGAAGGAGCTCCAGACAATGATATAACATTGCCCTTTCCACTATCTTAATGGTAATGGGATTTGAGTTCATCCTGGAGTGTCACATAAACTCAGGCCATGTTGTTGTACATAAGAACATAAGCAGTGCCCTGCTGGAACAGAACTCTGAGCCATCTAGGCCATGAGCCTGTTCACACAGTGGCCAGTCAACTGCACAAGGAAGCCTACTTGTCTGCCGGCAGATGGCTTTCAGAAGCAGCCATGCTGCCATCAAGGCTAATAGCCACTGATCCCCATGACCTCCATGAATTGGTCCAACCCTTTTTTTGAAGCCAGCCAAGCTGGTAAGCAGCACACCTCATGGCAGCAAATTCCAAAGTTTAATTACACATTGTGTTAAAAAAAATCCTTTTGTCTGTCCTGATTCTTCCAGTATTCAATTTCATTGGGTTCTAGTATTTTGGGAAAGGGAAAACAGCTTCTCCTTGTCCACTTTATCCACACCATGCATAACAGATACAGTAGCACATGTTAGTGATATAAAAGACACTCAAATTCATGGAATCCACTAGTATTCTGTAACCTTTGGGCATATACCCTCTGCAACAGACTGCCAGCTTAGAATGTAGATAATGGTGACCAAGATAGGTGAAAATGTCTCCTAGATGTGTTTGCCCTTATCTAGGATCTTCGACTTGTACCATTTTATTTTTTTTCACGTTTATTGTTAAGATATTGAAATACAAAATAAATAGAAAAAAGCAAATGTTGAAATACAAAGGTTTTTTTTTAAAAGAAAAACAATTGTTGCATTTTAATTAAAAAAATAACCTAGTAAAAAACCCCAAAGTAAATTACTTTTAGTGATACGTTCTCCCTTTCCCTTCCATTTGTATCCCCAACCACTAACCATATTTGAACTTTGCATCAAGCATTAGTAATTGTTTCTATTTGAGTCCTGAAAAACATATTCCAGATGTCTAAATCTGCTTTGTTCTGTGATATACTGTAAATAAGAGAGCCATTCCTGCTTGAATTTAAACTTCTATCGCAATGTACTGTCAATTTTGTCATTGCAACATATTCTCCAATTTTAGTTTCCCAGTCTGATATCGTGGGCAAGCTCCCTCTTTTCCAATATTAGGGTAGGTTTATTCTTGGACATGTACTACTTTAAATGTTGTTTCAGATGTGAGCTACAAGGCTAACCTACTGGTCATTACTTCCTTCTGGAAGAGAAGTAGTGGGAACCTTCAAAAATGCCCAAAATTTAGTAATACTTGGTTGTAGAAGCATATTTCTTTACACCAGGGGATATTGATACTGTTTTCTTTACCATGCCAAGTGCCTCTAGAAAACGGGTACTGTACTTGCTTTGGGTCCAGAGTTACAAAGAATACTTTGGCTGCCCTGGTTTGGAATGAGCTGTCTTGAAGCCGAGGTCATATGCATCTTCTTGACTAGAAGTGTAAAATAGCTTTGGGAAAATAGCAGTAGAGTCTGTAGTAGCTATTTCTTTGTCATCCTCCTCCTCTTCCCTGTCTAAAAGCCTGGGAGAGACAAAACCATCAGATGAAATCAACACCAGACAATTCATGGCCAGTACTGTATTATAAGAGATGACCTACTTCTCAGTTGACTGCATGAGCCTGGTGCTCCCTTCTTTTTGAGAACCCTCTTGGGTCTGAGGATGAAAACAAAAACCAGAGGTAGAGGGCCAGCACTTTCACTATACTGTTTGAAGACTCCTGCTGGTAGGCCAGAATGGGCTGGGTAAAGAGAGGGGTTCCCTCATACCCAGCTTTTCCAAAACAATGGTTCCCATGAAACATACAGCTAGGGGATGGGGAGAGAGTTGCCTTTCTGGGGATGGGGGAGTTGCCTTTCATGGCTCCAGGAATTTCATGAAGGGCTGGGATCAAAGGAAACTATGCCTATCAGCAACAAAAGTCTGGATTAAAAGTGTCCCCATTAATCAACGGGAGAAAGGAAATGCTCTTTTCCATCACACTGTTCCATCCTCTCCAATCCATGGGACCAAAGGGATTAAAGATAAGCTCACTGCCCCTGCAGGTTGCATCTACTGCCTGCTGCATTATCATGTGGGCAGGAAGTCACACCTCCTGATGAGGCTGGAGTTAAATGGCTGAACCTAAAGAACAGGAACTCCAGCTATCTGAAATTCACTCAATGAATCCACGGAGAGCCATGGCCTCTGATGGTTCTTGAACCATCAGAAGCCATGGCCACCCTACAGGAAGGAAGGAATAGAAAAAGGATGAAGCTTAGAG